CGCTATGAGTCGCAAGTGACTCGACGGCACATAACAACAATAACAACAACAATGCTTGCTTTTTGTTGCTGTTGTGATGTGCTGTCAAGTCAGAACCAACTCAGAGCTGACCCTCCAGTCGATTTTCAGATGCTGCTAATGGCACAGGAGGAGACTGTCCATCCTTCTCTTACAAAGCTGCTGGTGGATTTGAACTGTCTGCCATTGGGTCGGCAGCACAACTCTTTACCCACTAGATCATCTCTACCAAACTCCATCTTTATTTCAATCTCACAATACTATTAAAAAAAAATCTTAATTGACTCAACTCTTAGCCCTGGTTCTTGATGGTTGAATGACAATGAAGAGTAATCTGACCCTTCCAGTTGGTTTTAGATTCTTCATCTGTTATAATGTAATTATAATGTAATTACTTAACATATAAAAATTTGCTAAGTACATATGTTTGCTGCAAAAGGTCAAGGACTGTAGTCTTCAATGTGAATTGAAGCTTAACATCAAACTTTTTCACCACTGGGCCAATTGGCAGCACCATAAAGGACAGAAAAGAGATTGAGGTTGTTAATTTCAGCTTGCTCAGCTCCACAACCAACACTCTTGACACCAGCAGTCAGAAAACCAAAAGATGAATTGCACTGGGGAAGTGCACCTGATCCAGGCCAAATTGCTTGCTATGCATCAGAGAGCTAGACAATGGCTAAGGATAATGGAAGAAGAATTGATAGCTTTGAGTTATGGTTCTGGAGAAGAGTATGGAACATACCATGGACTGCCAAGAGAATAAACAGATCTTTCCTAGGGAGGGTGAAACCAAGCTTCTCCTTGGAAGCAAGGACTTTGAAGCTTCGTCTCAAATACTTTGGGATGTGGCCAGGAGGGATCAGTCCTTGGAGAAGGACATCACGCTTGAAAGGATGGAAGGGCAGACAGCACAGGAGAGGAAGACTCTGGATGAGATGAATTAAAACAATAACTGAGGCAATGGGATTAGGTTTGTTGGAGTCAGTGAGATGGCTCAGGACAGGGCAGGCT